GTCCCCCCGCACCCTTCCTGAGATCCGGGCGTGACAGTTTCTCCACACCAGGAGTGTTCGCCCAGTCTCGGGCCCGGGGACCATCACAGATCGATCCCACTCGAAAAATGCCACAGGAGAGACGGGGTCTGGGGCTCAGGGTCGAGACTTTTCGTGCCGCTGCAAACTGTCCCGAGTCGGGCTTCTACTGAAACGGGTCAATGCAAACCTGAGTCAGTCAGGCTTTGCAGAATCCTGAAAATCCTGCAGGATCCTGCAAGATCCTGCGCGCTAACCTGGGTCATGACAGCCCTGGCTCTGCAGGATCCTGAAAGATCCGGCGCTCTGGCTGATCCCAGTTTGCATTGACCCCAGTCTCTTGCATTAGGTCGGGCCTGTCCCCCTACAGGCCAATTTTGGACGAAAATAAAAAATAGTCCCAAAAACTACCCCACAAGTGCTCAAAAATAGTCCTAAAATCGTCTCCTGATTATTTTTTAGCTACTTTTGAATATTCCTCCTGTAGAGGGACAGGCCCGCCTTAACTCTTGCAGGTCGACCGAGGAGTCTCCGGATGTCCCCGGGGGCCTCAAAGGACCCGAGAGGCCAGAGAGCGTCCCAAGGCCGCTTCGATCCATCGGCCCCCAGGTCTCTCGGCCCCCTCCCTGGCACAGGGCTGACGTTTCATCCCGGGTCGTTCTGCAGACGGCCCCCCGCTCAGAACCGCTGGAGGCCACAGAATCGAACCGCCAAGTCGAATCGGCGATCGAAATACATCGGATCGGCGGATTTCGCGGGGCTAACAAGGCCTCCAGTGAGCGAGCAGAATCCAATGTAGAATCAAATCGGGCTCGGAATCTATCGAAATCGAATTGAGCCGGAGGCGCCCCGACTTTGCCGAAGCGGCGCCGGATGCTGGGGCCCGCCGCCTCTCGTGTTCGGGGCCTCACGGCCGCGTGGTGGCGACCTCACCGCACGGTCCGTCACCGCACGGGTCTTTGGGGCCCTGGAGGCCCCAGGTCGCCCGAGACGTCCTCGGTGAAGGGCTCGAGTCGTCCCCCTTCGCGCACCGCGCCCCGCGGTGCGTGACGCGCGGCTATATTCGAACCCGCGCGCCGCCGCCCCGTAGAAGGGCGCCTCTCCAGCCCAAGACGCGATGCGCGAAGCGCAATCATCTTCGCGCCCCTGGGGGTGACCTTGACGGCCCCAGTCCCGAAACCGCGCGGCGAACCCGCATCCCCGCTGACTCACCACGCGGTGTGGTCACCACACCGTCTGGGGGCCCCCGACATTTTCCTCCTCCTCCTCCTCCTTCTCTTCCTCCTCCTCCTCTTCCTCCTCCTCCATTTCATCTCCTTAAAAATAACTTCTCCCTGTCGGGCGGGCCAGGAGTTTCGCCTGAGACTTCCTCAAAATGTATGACTCTGTTGCTTAAAAAATGGCAACAGCTTCACCGATGGAGGGCGGGTGGTTTGTAATATGTGGCTCTCGCCTTAGCGCCGCGCACATTCGTTTTCAACGTGTACAAGAGGCTCACGGATTGAGGACGGGTGGTTTTCAAAATGTTGCTCTCGCCTTTAGCACCGCGCACATTCGTTGTACAAACTTGCAAGAGCTTCACGGATTTATTGCGGGTCGTTTTCAAAATATGGATATCGCCTTAGCGCCGCGCACAAATTAGTGGCTCTCGCCTTAGCGCGGCGCACATTCGTTGTAAACATTTGCCAGAGATTTACGCATTGAGGACGGTTCCTTTTCAAAATGTGGCTCTCGCCTTAGCGCGGCGCACATTCGAAAAAAGTATCCCGGCAAAGAACCCAAACAATGATGTGTAGGAGCATATCTGGAAGCATTCCCCTTAAGATTCAGATGAGAATCCAGTTGTAGAATTCTGCTATTCTCGCAGTCGAAGTCGCATTCGCGATGACAGTCGCAGTGGCAACGGCAGTCGCAGTCACCGCCTCAGCCTCAGTCTGCCTTCAGCCTCGGCCTCAGCCTCAGCCTCAGCCTCAGCCTGCCTCAGCCTCAGCCTCAGTTCAGTCTCAGCCTCAAGTCTGCCTTCAGCCTCGGCTCTCAGCCTCATGCTGCTCAGCCTCACTGCCTCCGCCTCAGCCTCAAGCCTCAGCCTCAGCCTTGCCTCAGCCTCAGCCTCAGCCAGCCCCAGCCTCAGCCCGCCTCAGCCTCAGCTCAGCCTGTTTCAGCCGAAAGCTCAGTCTGCTCAGCCTCGACTCAGCCGTCAGCTGCCCCAGCCTCACCCTGCATCAGCCTCAGCCTCAGCCTCTGCCTGCCTCCGCATCAAGCCTGGCCTCAGCCTGCCTCAGCCTGCCTCAGCCTCAGCCTCTGCCTGCTTCAGCCTCAGCATCAGTCTGCCTTCAGCCTCGGCCTCAGCCTCCGCCTGCCTCAGCCTCAGCCTGCATGAGCCTCAGGCTCAGCCTCAGCCTGCCTCAGCATCAGCCTGCCTCAGCCTCAGCCTCAGCCTGCCTCAGCCTCAGCCTGCCTCAGCCTCAGCCTCAGCCTGCTTCAGCCTCAGCCTCAGTCTGCCTTCAGCCTCGGCCTCAGCCTCAGCCTGCCTCAGCCTCAGCATGCATCAGCCTCAGCCTCAGCCTCAGCCTGCCTCAGCATCAGCCTGCCTCAGCCTCAGCCTCAGCCTGCTTCAGCCTCAGCCTCAGCCTGCTTCAGCCTCAGCCTCGGTCTGCCTACAGCCTCGGCCTCAGCCTCAGCCTGACTCAGCCTCAGCCTGCATCAGCCTCAGCCTCAGCCTCAGCCTGCCTCAGCCTCAGCCTGCCTCAGCCTCAGCCTGCCTCTGCCTCAGCCTCAGCCTGCTTCAGCCTCAGCCTCAGTCTGCCTTCAGCCTCGGCCTCAGCCTCAGCCTGCCTTAGCCTCAGCCTGCCTCAGCCTCAGCCTCAGCCTGCCTCAGCATTCAAAATGTGGCCCGGGAATGGAGTTCTGGGAACTCGAAGAACACGAAGTGGCCTGCAATTGGCTCCGGGCATTCAAAATCATGCCCAGGAATGGAGTTCTGGGAACTCGAAGACCACGAAGTGGCCTACAGTTGGCTCCGGGCATCCAAAATCTGGCCCGGGAATGGAGTTCTGGGAACTCGAAGACCACGAAGTGGCCTACAGTTGGCTCCGGGCATTCAAAATCATGGCCCGGGAATGGAGTTCTGGGAACTCGAAGACCACGAAAGTGGCCTACAGTTGGCTCCAGGCATTCAAAATGTGGCCCGGGAATGGAGTTCTGGGAACTCGAAGAGCACGAAGTGGCCTACAGTTGGCTCCGGGCATTCAAAATGTGGCCCCGGAATGGAGTTCTGGGAACTCGAAGAGCACGAAGTGGCCTACAGTTGGCTCCGGGCATTCAGAATGTGGCCCGGGAATGGAGTTCTGGGACCTCGAAGACAACAAAGTGTGCAACTGTTTGCTTAAAACGACTTCCGCGGATCCCTGTCCGGATGCCGCCCAGACCCCCCTGGGGAGTCATGATGCTCCCTTTTGAATCTATTAGAAACCTATCAGTCTTGGCCGTGAGGTAAAAATGCAAGAGCTTCACGGATTCCCATGGTCAACGTACCAGAAATGGTGTTTCGGAAAGGTTCAGGATTATGCGGGTGCAACAGTTATGTTGATTCGCAGTATTCTGGCACGACTCTGGATCGTCAAGACGCAGCAATCAGGTTCATCCGTGGCGTTGAAATTCCGAGAACAATGGTGTGGTATGCCTCGGCATCTTCAAACGGTTGTCTTCCAAGGAGGCAATTCCCTCCATTGGAATGAACCGTCATAGGGAGCTATGAAGAGGGGGAGTATTGGAGGAGGGTTAATTCCAACATCGTTGATGACTCTTGGTTTTACACTGGTCCTCCTCCTCCTCCTGCTCCTCCTCCTTCTCCTGCTCCTCCTCCTCCTCCTCCTCCTGCTCCTCCTCCTCCTCCTCTTCCTCCTCCTTCTCCTCCTCTTCTTCTTCCTTATAAATAACTTCTCTCTGTCGCACCCCGAGGCCAGTTTTTAGGGCGGGTCGGGCATTTCGCCTGAGAATTCCTCACCGTTCATGACCTGAAGCTTTAAGAAGGTTAACCGTTTCACACATGGAGGGCGGGTGGTTTGTAATACGTGGCTCTCGCCTTAGCGCCGCGCACATTCGTTTTCAACATGTGCAAGAGGCTCATGGATTGAGGGCGGGTGGTTTTCAAAATGTTGCTCTTGCCTTTAGCGACGCGCAGAATCGTTTTACAAGATGAAGGAGATTCACGGATCCCCATGATCCGCATACCCGAAACTATGTTGTTAGAAGGATTCACGATTGTGAGGGCGCAACGGTTACGCTGATTCGCTGTGTTCAAGTCTCAGAAATGGTGTTCTGGCACGATTCCAGATCGTCAAGACGCAACAGTCAGGTTGATCCGTGGCGTTGGAATCCCGCGAGCATTGTTTTGACATGCTTCAGGGTCTTCTAACGGTTGTCTTCCAACGAGGCAGTTCCCTCAGTGGAATTGAACCGTTGTAGGGGCCTGTAAAGAGGGGGAGCTTGGAGGGAGGGTTTATTACAACATCGTTGATGACTCTTGGGTTTCCACTGGTCCTCCTCTTCCACCTCCACCTCCTCCTCCTCCTCCTCCTCCTCCCTCTCATCCTCCTCCTCCTCCTTTTCCTCCTCCTCCTTCTCCTCCTCCTTCTCCTCCTCCTCCTCCTTCTCCTCGTCATCATCCTCCTCCTCCGCCTCCGCCTCCGCCTCCGCCTCCGCCTCCGCCTCCGCCTCCTCCTCCTCCTCCTCCTCCGCCTCCGCCTCCGCCTCCGCCTCCGCCTCCTCCTCCTTCCTCCCTCCCCTCCTCCTCCTCCTCCTCTCCATCCTCATCCTCCTCCTCCTCCTCCCTCCTCCTCGTGCTCCTCCTCCTCCTCCTCCTCCTCCTCCTCCTCCTCCTCCTCCCTCCCTCTCGCCGATCGCCGCAGCGGGGTCGGCTCCGCCAGATCGGGACAGCCGAACCGAGCTTCGCCCCGATCGGGAGCAAGCCGAGGCGCCGTCCTCATGTTTATGTGCCTCTGGTCCCAATACCTGTGAGCCGAGGCTCTAGCGGGTGGGTGGACTGGGTAAGGATGAGCAGGGGTATGAGAAGAAAAGAAGAACTTGGAGGCTTGGAAATCGGCACCAACGTCAGCACAGGGGGGTGCGTTCGCGGGGGAATGAAGTTCCGAGGTAATATTTCGGCCACCTGGGAAGCCCGAATGTTACACCATTACCGAAATCGGAATCATCTTCCCTCGGTGGAGGCACAAAGCCGATATTTAGAGGGCAGAAAATCCACCCCGATGAGAACCACCCCGACACGCGAAGCCGTTCGGTAAACGCACCTAGAGAAGGAATCAAACAGGGCAAGGCTGTTTAGTAAACGCCCAGGGCAATTTAGTAAACGCCATTTGTCCGGTCCGGGTGGTTTTTCCTCCCTTGAATATTGGTATTGGTGGCAGTCGCCAGGTCTCCAAATGTACACGCGAGAGAGACCCACACGTGCACCCGACCCATGCAGGTCAAACTTCTGAGAAACCCGCTGGGGGTCGGAGTCCAGAGGATGTCTGCAACCAGACAGGGCTGGACCTAAACGCTGGTTTGCTGGACTTCGGCTGTGTCTTGTTTTTCGCTTTGGCAAGGAAGTACAGGAAAGCGGGTAGAGCAAAACGAAAAACAAAACGAAAACAAAACGAAAAACAGCGTTTAGGTGCAGCCCTGCAACCAGATGAACCGCAGCGGGGGTGTCCGAGACCCCAGCGTCGATTCAACCAGCATGGGAAGGGCTCGCAAGTGGCCGCAGGCAGAATTTTTGAAGGTCCGCGGCGATCTCTTGGCACGATGCTGGACCCCCCCTCCGTGCGCCTGGGGCGGAGGCGGAGCGCGCCAGGGGCGGCGCCAGAGGCGCCGCCAGGGGTGTGCAGTGCCGATGCGAGAAGTCCGCGCGGACCTCCAAAGCTTACGCTCATAGGGAGGAGGGGGGCAACGTTAGGGGGCGGCCGGCTCAGGGGGGAAGCATCGTGCTTGAATCAGCGATACATCATCGCCAGTGGATCGGCAATATGCCCCAGATAGCGAATTCGCACGTTCCTGGGCGGGCTGGGTCATCGGGCCCCCGCGATGAAAAGTCGATTGGGAGTCGATGCATCCCAGCTGTGCATGTCCGCCCCTAGCGTTGCCCCTGACTCGGACTTTGGCTTTCGAGCCATAACTCACGCCTCGGGCGGCCGTTCGGGACAATCTGGGCGCAACTGGAACGCTCGCGGCGAGGCACACCTGCTGCACCGCACCCCGAGGCTAGAAAACCGCCGAGAACCGACGAGAACGCCCGAAAACCCCAAACCTCGAGCCCGAAACGTGCCCCTCGGAGCCCCCGAATGTTGCCAATGATCGGGAAGGGGGAGGGGGCGACGATGGGAGCGAACAGCCCAGGGAAGAGCAATACCGACATGTATCCAAGAGCGCCGACGGTCCATGCCTTCGGCGAGGCTCTAGGGCGAACACGTACAATGCCTGCCCCTGGGCGGTTCGACGCAACCGTGGCCTCCGACAGGAGGTGGAGGCAGGGCCTGAGTATCGTTTACAGTCAACCCGTATAGTAAGGATGCGCGAAAGGATGCAAGGGCCTTGGAGGGCCATTTCGATGCTTTTCGAGCGGGGCGCGGCCAGAGAAAGTGGCTAAGGATGGGCCGAAGGGACAAGGATGCAAGGGTATCCTTGGGAAGGTTGCCCATCCTTATTGTGCGGGTTGACTGTAACCGATCCCTATCCCCAGCGGCGTGGCCTGGGCCCCACTGGCCGATTTACCCCCCCTAGATGGGGATGTAGGCCGTTCCATTCGGGTTTCGAGGGGTGTATCCCCCACTGGCGTGGCAATTTGGTGGGCGTCTCGAAGTTCGCGGGGATGGGGATGGGGATCGGTTGAACGATACCGAGGGCCAGCTCCGCGGCAGGCCCGCGAACGGCCGCGCGGGCCTCCCGGGCAGCAGCTGCGCGGAGGCGTCGACACGGGCGGGCAGTGCCCTTGGCGGGCAGAGACGAGCGGCACGAATTCGGCGCCACGCATTCGGCCATAGGCCCCCCTGGTTGGGTGGCGAGCCCGGGGGGGGAAGTGAGCACGGGCGGGCCTTCTCAGCAGGCTCTGAAGTCCGAGGGGCTTCTGAGAAGCTCCCCGTGCCCCCCCAAGAGGCCACAAGAAGCCTCTCGGAAGGCAAGGGGGGGCTTCTAAGAAGCCTCGCCGCCTTCTGATAAGGCCTTCTCCTCCTCGTCTCCCCCCCTCGCTTGGAGCGGTCTTCGGCGGTCCTCTGACGCTGTACCCATCCGCGGTCCTCGGCCGGTCCTCGCGGTCCTCGGGCGGCCTTCGGCGGTCCCCTGACGCCGTCTTCGGCGGTCCTCTGACGCTCTGGGCGGTCTTCGGCGGCCTTCGCTCGCCGCCGGGTGGTACCCATCCGCTTCGGGCGGTCTTCGGCGGTCCTCCGACGGCCTCTGGCGGCCCCCCGCGGTCTGCTCGGACGGCCCTGGGCGCCCTCTGGCGGTCTCCCGCCAGCCCTCGACGGCCCGCCGTGGTCAGTGGCCCCTGGTGGCTTCTGGCGGTCCCTGCGGCGGCTTCTGGCGGTCCCTTGGGCGCGAAAGCTGTGCGGTTGCGCTCACAACGGGGCCCATGAAGACAAACGACACCACCCCACCTACGGCCCCACGGGCCGTAGCGCATACCTGGACATCCGGTGTGGGTTTTTGCATGGTAACCGAGTGCCCCCGAGATTAATGCCACAGGGACAATAAAGTTCGGGGCTGCGGGGGGATTATAAATGTTGCCTACCAGAGGCCAGCATGTGGGAGGAGAAAGAGATGATGTTAAAAGGACCGAAAGCCGAGGCTGCCTCCAAAAATTGTTGGTTTCGCTTGAGACATCCTCGACAACGTCTTCGCTGCGTTTGATGTTGCTATCTCAACATAAGAAGGAAGTTGACCTCGATGGTGAACTTTTCACAGTGATAAAGAAAGTTCGGCCTTCGCGCCCCGCGCCCCTGACCAAACTCGTATTGGCCGTGGAGAATCAACTCTAGCATGTTAAGGGGGGGGTCCTTCTTTATCAGCAGCAGGCGGTTATACGCTACGGTCCCCGATGGGCCGTGGCGCAACATGGAGGGCCGTAGGTGGGGTGGTGTCGTCTGTTTTTTGGCCGATGCAGGGTCCATGATCAAACGCCGAGCCAGCGAGGGGGTGGGGGGGCCAGGTGCACGTCCGCACTGCTCGGCACGCCCTCGAGCTCTCGGCGATCGGATGCAGCACTTCGAAGCCGCTGGCCCCCGCACGGCGGACGCGATAAGTCTTGCGAGCTGATTGGATGTCCTCCTTCGCCTGTGGCCCTCGAGGTCCCAAACTCCTGTGTAGCGGGGGGCAGAGCACATTCTGGACGCTCAGAGCCTCCGCACAGCCTCTGACGCCTCCAGCATGCCCACAGTGGTCTCCGCGACGGGCCGAGATACGTAGGCGCCAAGTTGCTTCTTCGCTTCGGTGTGAAAGGCGTGGAATCCGTCACTGACATGACGCCTCATCTACACACCTCGCGAGCCCCCAAGACGCAAGAGACCCCCAGGACGCTCCCAGACATCCTAAGAAGCTCCCCAAGAGGGCCCAAAGGGGGTTCCCGAGACGCTGCTCCCAGAAATCCCACGAAGCCCCCAGGGCCGGACAAAGGATGCTCTGCCAGGGCGCAACACAAACAGCGTACGTCGGTACTTCAAAGACGGCGCCCTGAGACATGGGCTCTCAGGACGGAGGCCATCAACAGTGCGAGCTCAACCTGCCAGCTCCTTCCTACCCTTCCGGCGCCATCCCTTGGGGCCCCATCCTCGAAGCCCAGGAGTAAAGCCCCAGGAGACTCACATACAGAGAAGAAGAAGAAGAAGAAGAAGAAAGAAGAACAGCATAAACATAAAATTTCGACGCTCCACGCAGATTCGAGAAATCCGCGCGGAGCGTCGAAAGCTTCTGCTTATGCCGTTTTCTCTTCCTCGAATATCTGAGCCCCCGTGACCAGTACTCGCTGGTCGGAAAACGTGGGTAGAAGTATGAAATAGGAAGACGTTGGAAATATATTGGATTTCGCACGCCCCCTGAAGAGGGAGGAGAGAAAGCCGCTCGAGTCTTGAGTAGGAAGGCGCGCTAAGCAAATTGGGATATGGGACTCCAAAAAAACGTACGTTCAACGACCGGTGGGTACGTCAGCCCCTTCCTACCCCTCTGGCCACATCCCTTCCTACCCTTCTGGCCACATCCCTCAGGGCCCCATCCTCGAACCCCTGGAGCAAGGCTCCAGGACGCTCAACATCTGAGCCCCCGTCACCAGTAAGTTCGGTGGTTCAAAGAGGTGGTTCTCAGGGATGGGGACCTATGGATAGGAAGGGATCCAAGTCTGGATTTACATTGTTTGAAGCACCTTGTCCTTAGGACCCCATCCCTCGGGACCCCATCTCTGAACCACCGATACGTCAGCCCCTGCTGCCGCCGAACCTCTCATCGTCGTAGTCGTCGCCGTCGTCCTCCTCCTCCTCCTCCTCGTCGTTGTTGTCATTGTCGTCATCATCGTCGTCCTCCTCCTCCGCCTCCTCCACGTTGTCGCCCTCCTCCTCTCCTCACCAATGCATCAGTCCCTGCCGACGGCAAGCCCCTCCCGTCACCTGGCCGTGCGCACGAAGGGGGCAAGGGAAGGGGGAAGACTTCTCTCAGAACCAAGGGTGCTTCTACGAAGCCTTCCCCCCTCCCCCTCCTTCGGGAGCGGCCAAGAGGGGGGCGTCCAAGAGGGGGGGGGGGGGGGGGGGGCGCAACTCGTGGCGGGCGGCATGTGCGCGGCCCAAGGGGGGCCAGGGACGCAATGGAATAAGAAGAGGCGTCCTGAGATCTGGGGAAATACCATGGCCCCCGCCATGATATCGCCCCCCCCCCCTAGTCATTACCCCCCTCTTTGCCGCCCCCGACCCCTCCTCCCCTCCCTGCGCGCCGCCGAGAAAAACTCTGCTCTGCACCCGGGCCCTGGGCGGTCGGGA